AATCTCTGATTAGATATCTAAATCTATCTGGATTTAGAGGTCAATTTGGAAAGTCGGATTAAGGATCGAAACACTATGCCCAACTCTGCTAGATACACAAATATCGAAATCAGTCAACTAAAAAGACGCCAAAATGTTTTAAGTAAGCTTTGAAGAATTTTATATTGCTATATTGTTAAATAAATTAATTTAATAATGATGATTGTAACATTTATATTTTATGTGTGTTTAATTGATTTTGGAGAAGTTAATTGTCGAATAGATGTAAATGTTGGTCTAGTTAATATTAGGGTTCGAGGCACGGGTAAAAAATTAGGCATGCTCTGAGTCGCGGCATGCCCCTCGTGCCCACAGGCATGCCCTTTTTATATAGAAAACTGGTGCTTCGTATTACCTATCTTATTTAGTATTTTTTTTGGTTTGCGTAAAAAATTCTGTTATTGGTTTTATTGGAATGTTACATTAGAGCTATCGTAATTTCTACCATGGTTTAATGTAAAAAATTCTGTTGTTGGAGTTATAGTAAGTTATTTTGAATTATTGTAAAAAAATTTTCTAGTGACACATAATATGTAGTTAATTAAAATTTAGTTTGCATTAAAATTATCATGATTTCTATCATGAGTTACTATAAAAAATTCTTGCTATTCCGGCGATTATTGTATATTGATTTCTATTGTTATTACTGCAAAAAATTCTGTTACAGGATTCTATCGCGACTTACTGTTACAGAACTTGCATTCTGGTGACCACAATATGTGGTTAAGATATGATTTCTATCACGTTACTGTAAAAAAATTTTTTACAGAACTTCTCACCTATCTGCTATTATGCAGTTTTTGCATCAAATTGTGTAGATTTTCACACACTTAGACGTTTTCGAACATGACCAACTTAAATGCAAGGTACTAAAAAGATAAACTTGAATACTGCATGTCGTAAATAAAATCTAGATATTCCTAAATTGAAATTTTGTAAAATTTACAACTCTGATGACCTCGACTACTTCTGACATGCTGGCCAATCAGATACCACACGTATATAATGACTAGGGCATGCCTAACGGCCAAGTGGCATGCCCATGCCTCTGTGCCTCGAACTCTAGTTAATATGTATAAGCGATAGTTTAATTGACTAAAGATTGTAATACGTTTTGTAAAAGAAGATAGCAGAAAAGTAGAACAAAAATTACTACTGTACCTAAAATATAATTAATAAAAGTAAAACTTCGTCGATAGTATTACTATAACAATAAATCATTTATTCGTATATCGATATTGAATTTTTATTATTAATTTGACGATTGGTTGATAATCAAATATCACAATCAAAGTTTTTTGATTGGTTAATGGTCATGTTTTGATCATCAAATGTGATAAGATCGAACTTTGTGACATATTGATATTGATATGCAGATCAGTGAAAATCTGTCGGTGCTACTGCAGTACTGGGGAGGTGTGTAGAAACAATAGCTCACGGTTTACCAAGGACTTGGGATTCCCGACTCATCAAACAACTCTTTTTTAAGATATGCGAGAAATAATACTTTCTCCATATCGGCTTTGCTATTTCGCCTCCTTTTCCATCTTATATAAGAATTCTTTGATTAAGGGCTATGTTCGCATTGTCTGAACTCATTGAAATAATCATCATGCCAACCCTGAAAAGATATAAGGAAAAAAATCAAATTTACATATCGAATAATGAAAGCCATAAAAAATAGGAATAAACACTAATATATGTTCTATCTGTCCAAATATGGAATTTTAGGTAACGCGAAAATTTCCCTATAATTTTTGCCCAATCAAATTTCAATATCAGATATTTTTCAAATCGCGTGCGAACTTGACGCGTTTTAATTAAGGCTAGGATAAACTTGGCGTCTATAATAAAACTTCGTAGGGATCTTTATTATTAGCCACAGAAGATGGTTTCTTCATTAAAATTAAGCTATTTTAGTTTTTTTTTTTCGGGTTTCGTTTCGGCTTTATGCTACATCCGATCCTGAAAAGTATAAATATGATAAGCACTATTCGGGAAAATAGGTTTATAGATCAAACTGTCTTACATTAATTCTAAACTATAACCTTAATCGAATTATCAGATAGTTTCAATAATCAATGTTAATACGGCAAAAAGTAGATAAAATTATGCGATTGGAAATTTTATTAACAAATGCATTACATAATTGTTTATTAAAATTTGTTATTCATTTTTATTAAAAAAGTTGGTTAAAAAAACCAGACAAAACAATCGATTAGTAATTATGATATTTCAAATTAAACTATAAAGTAAAATAATAACATGGTAACAATTACTAAAATTTAAATTCAACTTCATGATAGAATTTTTATCTTATTGTTGGAAAAGTTCATAAACCCATTAAAAAAAATTCTAATAATTATAATTCTATTTCTAATTATAGCATCAAGATTATAAATACTGCATCTAATTTATCTAAACAATGCTTAATTATTGCATAAACATAATGATCTTAACTGTGTTGGGCTGCCTACAAATACTTCAATCTATTACCTGCATGAATAAATGTTTCATCTGATGAATAAACATACACTTTCCCCGAAGATACTCCGACAGTCATCAAACTCAAGTCTAAAAAACAAAATAGTTATAATAAATATAAAATAAAAATTAAAAGATAATTAAAAAAAGAAAATTAATAATTACCTGGTGCCATCTGAATTGACGTAACAGGACTATCATGATGTGAAAACTGGTAAATCATATTGTTGCCCGATGCTAATGAAACATCCCATACTTTTACACAATTATCGTTTCCTCCACTAGCAAGTATGTTACTATCAAAAATCCATTGCAATGACATGATTCCATCATGTGGTAAACCATCATCTGGATCTTTTTTTTTTATAAAAAAATTAAGACTTAAAATGTAAATAAAAAAAAATAAAAAAAAATAAAAAAAAAGGTGTATTCAAATAATAACTCACTTTCATGTCTTAACACATGAAGACTTTGCTTTAAATATCGTTTATCATATACGTATACAGTGTTCATCACCCCACCAAGTGCAATATATTGATCGTTAGGCGAAATTGATATAACATTTATATCCTTTTCACCAGTAAACGCACGTAAAGTAGTTTGAGACAACATATCCCATATATGCATAGAGCCATCCCCTTCTTCAAATTCCGCAGTAGTTCCACATGTAATCCATTTTTCTAAAAAGAATGCAAATCGCAATCATGATAATAATTACTATATCAAACAATCAAAGCCATTTAGAACCTACCATCGTGTGAAACATCTAAACAACTAACACTACCAGAAATTGATTGCTTATTATAGCACGCCTTCTTTCTGCTATTTATATCCCAAACTTTAATTACTCCAGCATAATCACTTGAATTGCCATTATATCCTGCAATAACCTTATGGCTTGAAATAAAATTAACATCACTTGATACTCTCTTACACTCTTCTTCAATAAATTCTTGTGATACCATAGTGAAAGCTTGTTTTTTGTCACTTCTTATGAAGTGAACTTGAACCAACCTATAATTCATATAAAAACTTTAAAAAGAGATGTTAAAAAATAATAATGCAACAAACATGCATACCCAGAATCTTCACATGATGCAAATTGATATTTTGTTCCATAAGTTGGTTTTTTACATACTGATAGTCGATGTATTTTCGACTGGCAAACTGTATAAAAATTTATATAAATATAAATACAAAATAGTTCGAAATTTTTTGAAACTTAATGAGTGATAAATTATGCACCTTTTGTATTAAAAGGCTTTAAATAAAATTTTGCATCACCGGTTTGCCAAACCTAGCAGAGTGTTATTAACGAAAACACAAGTTTGTTTAACAATAAATAAATAACCTTGTAAGGCTATATAAATAAGATCTACGAATAATCAAGCTACCTTAATAGATGCATCAGTAGATGCTGAAAAAATAAACTTTCCATCCGGTGAAAATTTAACATCTGTTACTGTAGTCCAAACATCTAACAATAAAATTAATAAGATCATGAGACAAAGTTCAATATTTAACTTTTTTACTTAAAACCTACCTAGCTTTGAACTCATATCCCGTTCAATATGGCCCCAAAGATTATAAACCGCCCCTAAAAATTAATTATGAATTAATTATTTATGATAAATGAGATGTACTACTAAATGCACTACTAAAAAAACTAAAACGTTTGTACCCTGTTTAATATCAAGAAATTGTAAATTTCCAGGAGAGTTATAATCGGGATCTGTCAAGAATAAAATTTTAAAATTTTTTCAAAGTTAAGAATGTGATTGATATAGTAATAACCTTATATGATAATACATACCTGCATTTGCAATATATCACATAGCTACACTTGGACTGTTTAAAACATAATATTAATAAAGCAAGCACAAATTAATTGTGCAAGAGATAATAAAATTAACATACGCTGAAGAGTTGCTACAATTCAAGGCAATTTCATTCACATCACCGCTTCCACATTTGAAATTGTAAGATTTCAATTGGTTTAATCTATGAAAAACCTGAGACTCCGCTGAAGAAAACTAACATAATAAATTTATCTCAAAAATATGTAAATACGCGAATAAAATATTTTGTACCAAAATTATAACATACAGTCTTGGGCTCATTCGATATGTCGTTTAAAGCCATATAAGAAATTACTGTCACGGTGTTATCAATATCATATAATGCATCGTCCTATTTAGAAATTAAGTATGGTGATCTAAAAAAATGATCAATAAAAAAAACTTTCTAACCGTTAAAAGTAACTCACCAAATAAACTTCTTGTTCCATTGCCATTTTAATCTTGTAATCACGTTTTTCAAAGAGTAACTTTTTCGCAATGTCTAAGATGCGAAAAACATTACTAATAATTACAAGCAATATACTTGAAGAACGTATAGAAAATACCTCGTTCTTTGTCATGTTTAAAATAAAGCTGTAAATATTGATCACCTAATCAACGTCAATGATGAAATATTTATACCTTTAAAAGCAGTTAATTATTAAAATTAAAAGCGCAGCATACCGCTTTAACTTCAATATCCTGGAGAGATACTGATTGTACTTCTAATCTT